AGGGATGGTGACCGGGAAGTCCCTTCCTCTGGACCAGGAGCAGTGGGACGAAGGCTCAGAAGCCCCTACCTCTGGGCCAGGAACAGTGGGACTCAGTACCTTGGTCTGGTGGTCTGGTGTCCTCTGCACCTTGGTAATGTGGAATCAGGTGGCTGCATGTCTGCAGTGGGGTGATTCGGTGTCTTCCGCGTGACTCAGGACCTCGGTAAGGCGTGCACAGACCTGCCTGTCTGCAGCGGGCTGATTCGGCATCTTCCGCGTCAACATTTCAAAATTTTAAAAGTCACTTCTAGAGCTTCTGATTTAATGGGCTCAGGGTGAGATCAAAGAATTAGTATTTTTTTTTAAATTTCCTAAATTTTTCCTAATATCAGAGGTTCAGTGTCACTGATTTATATCTTCAAATTCACTGAGTATTAGATGCAGGTTTAGGCTGTTCCTAATAAATGAGTTACAGTAGCAAAATAGTTAAACCTGCAGGCTCTGGAGTTAAGACTGCTTGGGCCTTCACCTTACTTGCTCTTCTCCTAACTTGTTGATCCTAAGCAAGTTACTTAACCTCTTTGTACCTTAGTTTGATTTGTTTGTTTGTTTGTTTGTTTTTCAGATTTGCAAGGACGGGATAATAATAGTACAAATGTGGCAAAGTTGTGAGGATTAACACATGTTGTGGGTTGTATGCTAAGAGCTTAGGACAGCTATTGTTATTCCATGAGCATTCCATGTATATAGATACTGTTACTTCTGTGCTGTCCTCATCCTGGAGTGTAGATATCTTGACTTACAATTAACAGTAATGCAAAAGTGCAACCACCCATACATTCAGTGTGGTATTTTAAAAGTGATATGAGCTATTCAACACTTTATTATAAAATGGCCTTGGGGCCGGGCATTTAGCTCAGTGGTTCCACCGCCTGCTGTGCAAGCGCAAGGACCTGAGTTCAATCCCTGGTACCAAAAAAAAAAAAACAAACAAAACCACACACACATAAAAATTTAATTTTATTGGTACACTTTTGATATATATAATGATCACATTCATCATAGGGAATTTGTACCTGTACATAATATATCTTGATTATTCTTTTTTCCCATTCCCCTCCCCTCCTTTCAACCCTTCTTTCCCTCCTTATTTACAAAGCTTTGTTTCCATTTTCTTCCTTCTATTCTTTTTTTTCCTTTTCCCTTCTCCCTCCCCCTTCCCTTGTCCTCCTTCCCATTTGAACATTTTCTTCCTACTTCCCAGTATCTGTCATCCATTTTGGCCCTTATTTACATTTTTGGTTTCTCACATAAGAGAAACAACGCAATAACTAAACACATGTGTCCAACTTATTTTACTTAAAAGTATTTAAAAAAAAGTATGGTCTCAAGGTGCGTCTATTTACCTAAAACTATCTCAAGTCTTTAAGATGGGTTTTTCAGGCCATAACCCCATCATCATAAGTCAAGTAGCATCTGTGTAATTTTGTCATATTTTTGTGGACATTATCAAATTTTGTTTGCAGTATCTACCAGCAGGTAACTTTTTTTGTTTGTTTGTTTGTTTGTTTTGAGATAGGGTCTTGCTATGTAGTTCAGGCTGGCTTTGAACTTACTGTGTAGCCTAGGCTGCCCTTGAACTCGAAGAGATCCTCCTGCCTTAGCTTCCCAAGTGCTAGGATTACAAGCGTGCACCACCACGCCTGGCTAGCAGGTAACTTTTTTTGTTGTTTTTTTTGTGGGGGAGATTGAACTTGGGACCTTGCACTTGAGAGGCAGGCGACGGAACCACTGAGCTAAATCCCTAGCCCTAGCAGTTAACTTTTAAAATTGAGTCCCCTACAAAATTTAGGTCCCCTGAGTATGTATGGAGTCTTTAAAGCAGGTATGTCCAACATACAGGCCTGGACAGCTGGTAATGTGGCCCCACATGATTGTAAACTTTTAACATCATTATGTGATTTTTAGCAATATTTTTTCACGACTTGATTGCATGGAGCTTGAGCGCATACTATGTAGGTGACAATGGAATGCTGTGTAGGGGAGGTCACAGGGAAATACTGACTCTGGCTGCTGTGCCTGCCACACCCAGTCACCCCAATCGAAATGGGATACACAGTAAGTATATCAGATGTTGTGTGCACTTGTGTGATTTGGTGAGCATAATGCAGTGATTACCGGTAATAGTATTTCAACCTATCTATGTATGTGCCTGTGAAGACTGGTATTTATTGTTATTAAGCAGGCATGTAAGTTTTCTTATTATTAAACTTGGACTTATTGTGTTATTTCATTAAACATTTTAATAAGGGCCAGGGATTTAGCTCAGCAGCACCTCACCTGCCTTGCAGGCACAAGGTCCTCAGTTCGATCCCTGGTACCAAGAAAAATCAAAATAAACAAATGAAACAAAACATTTTAATAAATTAAAATGTAAAAATAAAGTTTTGTTACTTATATACATTAACTTTGTATTTTGTATGCAGCCCAAGACAATTCTTCTTCACTCATTGTGGCCTAGGCAAGCCAAAAGGTTAGACACTCTTGATTTAAAGTGACAAGAGTTTGACCTCACAGCACCATTTCTCCCATCATACCTCCAAGGGGAAATATTGTTTATTCTCATTTTCCTTTGGAACAGTCCAGGTCCCTGAGGACTGAAGAGACAAACTCTTAAAATTAACTGAAAATAAAACCTAGCCCTGCAGGACCTCTTTCAAGTAGCGTACACAGCCTTGAGCCACATGATGCTGAGACTAAAATGAATCCAGTTAACATGGTATACATGTTTTACCCTCTTAGATCTCCTACCCCATCAGAGTAACTGGCAAGACTTCTGTTCAGAGTGCCAAAGAGATTGAAAATGCTCCCATCGGTCCCGAGGACAAATGGCTTCAAAGAGCACAACAGCTAAAGGTTACTTGCTCGAATGCATGTTAAGTGTGCTTCAAGTGATACTGCTAAATATAAGTAATGTTTGTCACTGAGTTCTTGTCACTTGAGCTTATTTTGATGTCTGAAAATAGTTCACCACCATCCTATGAGGAAGACTGGCCATTTCTTGCTCAGCCTGCCAACCCTACCTGTTTTTCCCAAGGGTTCTGTTTCCTAGAAGAACATCTTCATATTGCAGTGTGGGTGGATTTGACCACTGGGCTAAACTTCTGGCAGGTCAGGACAGCACCTGGTCCCTCAGCCTCTGAGCAGAAATGGTTAGGAAATGGAAGTTTAGTACCTGCTTAGATAGAAAGTAAGAGGTGGGTCTAAGTGTTGGATTAGTAACACCAGTGACACTGAGGGAGAAAAAGGAAGCTTTTGTCCCCGGGGAAGAAAGAAGAGTCTGAGGACAGGACGGGGCCTGATTTTGAGTTTGGAGGAGGAGGAATATGATCTGATCGTAGAACTCAGGACAGATGTCAAAGTTAGCCATGTCCACTTGCACCATGAAGTCTTCCTTGTGGATTGAAGCTCTGGGCATTGCTGAGATGGCCCAGTGATTATGAGGAGTGGGAGAAGGGACAAGAACCAAGAACCCTGCCCTGCATGCAGAGGCCCAGTGAGAGGTAGGAAGAGGAGGCCAGTGCAGCCTACCCAGGGAAGAAGCTTGTCTCTGAGTTGAGAGACAGGTAGAGTTGAAACAGAGAGCAGATGGAATAAGAGTAGCTTTTGCTTTTTTCAGAGGAGAATTAAGCACATTTACACGCTAGAAACAATGAGAAACCCGAGATAGAGTGAGGCAAGAAAATAAATACCAGGTATGGGGCTGTGGATATAGCTCAGTGATAGAACACTTGCCTGGCATGTCCAGGGTTCTGCGCCACAAAAAAAAATCTGAAAATTGATGATCACTACTTTTTATATGAGAGTCTTGTAGATGAATAAAAACTTTACTTTGAGCCATGTATTCTCCCTTCATTGAACTTTTCCACGTAGGTCTAATTGTCCAGAATTGTCCTGTGCTCTCCTGGGATCCTCACAAGCTTTGAAGTCCCATTCAATGGAACACCCACACTGAGCGAAGTACTTAGCCCAGCACCCGTGCCAGGCAATGGCAAGGAGAACACTCCACCCACAGAAGATCCTTCCCTGCTGTCTTAGTCTGTTTGAGCTGCTGTAACAAAAACCAGAGTCTGTGGGGGGAGTGCTTATAAATGTCAAAAATTTATTTCTCACAACTCTGGGGGCTGAGGAATCCCAAGTCAAGAACCACCAGGTTCAGTGTCCAGTGAAGGGCATCGATGGCACCTTTTCAGTGGGTCCTCCTGAGGTGAAAAAGAATGACAGAGCTACCGTGGGCCTCTTTTATAAGAGCACTGGCCCTGTCTTTCCAGAAGGCTCTACCCCTGTGACCCAATCGTCTCCCAAAGGCCCATCTTTTAAAACCAGCACCGGGAAGGTTAGGATTTTGCATATGGATTGGGGAGAAGTCATTGAACCAAGTGAGATGTATATTGTCAGGAGAAAAGATAGAAAGTTCCCCAACTAAGTACATGTTTAAAAAGATAAAATAAGATGCCCCTTATTGCCACTTTAAAATAATTCTTGACTTCCTAGACAAGGAAAAGGAAATGACACTATGAAAGGAATGAAGGATCTTTTTAAGTAATGTCATGGTCCTTGAAATCACCCCCTAAACAATCTTCCCAAAGAGCTGTGAATTTGATTTTGCTTCAAACACTATCATTAGATTCTACGCCTCTTCTATTCATCTGAACTGAGTCCTTCCTTTCCAACAGTGAAAATTAAAGCCAATTAGTATCTGCTCGAATTTTTTTTTATTATCAGATGGGATTTGTAACTGAAACTCAAAGAACTTGTACCTTATTATTAATGAATGCAGCAGAAAAACAGATCACAACAGAAGCTCCTCTACCTCAGAGCTGATCCTAGAGGCCAGATACAAATCTCAAGACTTGAGGGTTGAGTCAGGCAGCCAAGATTGGCCTTTGTGTTAGGGCAGATGAGCTTTCCAGTTAGAATCGGAGCTTGCATTCTTCCTTCTGCCTATCACATGTAAGCAGGAGATCTGTAAGACAGAAACAGCCAGACAATGCTGTTCACAAGAGTTGGAGGCCTCCGCTGGGTGGCACAGTAATGAGTGCACATTAATGACTAAGGACCAGTCTTACTAAGAAATTATCATCCCAGCATTTGGCATCAAGATTTTCAGTACTAACATTTCATATGTGACACGAAAACCTACTGCCATTAAGCAGTTATTCTGAGTGCATGCAGGATGTACCGATTGCAGTTGTTGGTAACAAAAGGAGCCCAGTGAGAGAGCAGGATGAAATAGAGGATTTCAGCATTGATGGAGATTAAATAGCCTGAGAATGGCTTTGTATATTAACTTCAGGGGGCTCAGGTCTTGCCACCTAAAGAGTGACACCTGATGCCTCCATTGTAGGGTAATAAATCTTCAGTAAACCACAGATCTCAAGTAGGCTGCTTGGAAGGTGAGAGAAATCACATCAAACCATAAATGTCTTCCTTTCTGGGGACTGAAATACCATCTCTGGCACTTACATTTGTGTGAATAGCAGATTTAACACTTGAGACAATTGAAGTTTGTAAAATGATGAGTCCTTGGCCTTGTTGATAAAGCACCCTGTGAAGAGGACTATTGTGATGTGAGTTGTCAGCAGCAAAGGAAACAACATGACTAAAATCAAGTGCTAACCCACGATTTCAGATCTGGTACCCGAGAAGGGAAATCTGATAAGTTTTTTTGTTCTTTTTTGTTTTTGCTTTTGTTTTTGTTTTTTTGATAGGACTGAGGAGAGAAAACAGAAAGTTATAGTCAGCAGCAGAAAGAGTTCCGAATCATTTATTTCTCTAGAGAGTTAAGGGCTGAACAAATATTGAAAAGAAAAATATTGGCAGGGGAATGGGGAAAAAATAAGAACTAAGATACATGTAAAGGTATAAGATCCCAATGATGAATGTAACTATATTGTATACCTAAAATGTACCAATAAACTTTATGGAGAGGTGCGGATTTAGCTCAGTAGTTTCGCCGCCTGCTGCACAGGCGCAAGGACACGAGTTCAATCCCCGGTACCAAAAAAAACCCAAAAAACAAAACTTTATGGAGAAAAAAAAGAAAAAAATATTATCAACATTAACATTTGTAGATCATAGCAAAGGGGGGCTCTTTTGACTTTCATAAGCAGTGATGACAGCCATGAAAAGAGCCTTTGTGTTTCACGCACATACCTTTAAGATTGTGAAATAGCAATTTCTTTGGGATCCACTGCAAGGAAGGATTCTCTTGGATTTATCTATTTGCAGTCTTCTTGCCTGCATTTCTGCCGTGCAGCTCATTATACTGCATGGAAGAAAAAAACTTTATCTAGATACAGAAAAAAAGTTTCCCTTTATTTGGAGCCCTACAGGTAAAAGTTGAGTCTATAGAAATTAATTAGAGCATGGTCAATCCCTCAGAAAGTTCCAATTCCAAAAAGAACATACTGTACACTAATCTCAATCTATCACTGTAATGTGGTTTCACTAGGAATAGAACACTACTTAATAGTCATAGGGATTGCATCAGAAAGGTAGAGTAAAAGCTGAACTCAAATCACAGTAATATAATCATTCTTCCTAGCAAGCTGAAATAGTTTGAGTGAAAACATGTTTTACTCACTTTAAGATTTTTTTTTCACCAATCATCTAATTGTTCTGTTTTTTTATCAATATTGCATAGATACAGGCCACAAATTTTTTTTAAGATATAGATGTTCAAAAAGAGAGAAATATGCTGTAGTTATAGAATACATTGGTACATATGCTCATCTTACTGTTTACAATAAACGTTTAATCATTCTTTCCAGAGACCTCTTAACTCAGCTAGTTTTTCACAGAGTAATCAGTACTCTATTGCTTAAGAAAGATTCCTAAATGACTATAGCACAATACAGTTACACAGTGTATCTTTTATATCGGGAGTACATTTTGTTGTTACTAGTCTTTATAAAGCATAAAGATGGTTCTGAAATTGAAATCTTTTCTCCCAGATGTTTGCTTGCCTAAGTACAAGCTATATTAAGAGACAGAAGCAAAACAACCGTTGTGGTTTCACAGATGTCCTGTCACAGCTCAGACTTGTAGAATCCCCTGAATAAAATCTAATTTGTTTCATCTGAGAGGTCATTTCTACCTTCTGACCTGCATGAGTAAGAAGAGCCAATAATCTGAGCTGTATTTCATATTGAACTTGTACTTGGGTGGTAAAGCAAAGCACTGATGTTTTCTGGTTAGGATATTTGAAATATTCAGTTCAAATAAGCTTGCATAGTTTGATGTAGATTTATACTGTCTTTCTGTGCATCTCGTTGGACATAAAGCATCTCTGCCATGCCAATTTGATAACATTCCCCTTTATAACTTTTAAATCAAAGATGTGTCCTTAATACAAAGCCCATTCTAAGCTCTCAGTTTCTTTCTAGGCTTGCAATCTAAAATTGCTTGGAGAAATCACTCAACTGTTCATCCTCTAACTATCTGAAATATAGAAAGGGCTCTCTGTGCTCTTTCCTTATCTGCTTGCAGTTCCATGCTCCCCTTCCTAGAAGTCTCAGCCCCCAGTTCAAAAAATACTACAATTTTTGAAAAAAGTACCTGTCTCCTAATTTTACATTAACCAAAAATATCTTTTTAGAATTACCAGGAACACTGCTCTCAATATGAAGGTAAAAAGTCAAGCAATGTCCCAAGAGGTCAATCCTCTGAGTCAATAAATGGCCAGCAACCTTCCAGAAGACCAGCGAAGCCCAAAGTTCGGAGACTGCACAAACACCAGAATGGCATGAAGTCCTTCGTGACTAAAGAGCTCACTGACATTCAAGGGAACCAGAATAAAACTCCCGGACAGCAACAAAACCAAAATCAGCATGGGTCAATTGTGCTTTTGAATGCTTCTAATAATGATTTACAAGACATGAGTGCCCTTAGGAACCAGAATCCCAAAAAAATCCCAATCTCCAATGTATTTGCTCTACGGAAACAGACTTTTGGCAAGGTATTATACAAAAACTCTACTGGGCATCACTCAGTGCTGAATGTTAATAAAGAAAGACGATGCAGAGATGAAGAAAAGAAAAGATTTTCATATCAGCAATTACCCATCTACACTCTTTCTAACATGGATTTGAACAATTTTAATGAACTTTCTAAGAGACATGTGCTCTTGAGCCAGAAAGGCTCTCAATCTGCTTATGACATGGATGTTCATGAAGCCACTGAAAATAAGAAGCAACCCAAACAACCTTATGAAGAGACAAAATATAAGAACATAGAAATGCTATGGTAAGAATTTCTTATTCTTGAGTGGTTTTTCAGAGGAGAAATAAGAAGCTTCTGGAGAAAGATGAGAGTGGGAGAAGGGAATGGGGGAGCCCCTGGGAAGGGCCAGGTGAGAGGGAAATTCACATACTCTCTGATTCCTGCCCAACACAGTACACTTTAGATGAATTTTCTTTCCTCTCCCTTATCTCTTTTACTTTTTCCACTGTAGTTAAGTGAAAATTTGAGAGGAGAAGGACACAGGGACTCAGTCAAAACAGTTTGGAGAGAAGCAAGTACTGTGTAGAGGAAACCAATTATTATCTCCAACACTATAATGACCTATCCTAGGAAAATAATCTATAATACAAAAGATTCTGTCTGCATAGAAATATCATTTATAAAAATATAATTTATAAAAATAACCTAGAAATAAAAAAATGGGGAGATGCTTGGGTAAATTATGATATTTAATATCATGCAAATGCCAGGCACAGTGGTACACACCTGTAAACCCAAAGACTGAGACAGAAGGATTGCAAGTTTAAGACCAGCCTAAGCTATGTAGTGAGACCCCATCTCAAAAAAAAAAGGTCTAAGGATGTAGGTCAATAGTAGAGTGCTTGCCTAGCAAGCATGAGGCCCTGAGTCAAATCCCTTGTACCACTAAAAATATTATGTGACCATTAGAAATTATAGTTATAAAGAAATGCTTTTATAAAAATAAACTAGAAAGGTACAAAATTATACCCAAGGAGTATGAACTGTACTATGTTAACATGTGCACAGAAGAAAAAAATAGAAAAAGAGATGATTGAGGTTATTTTTGGTTTCTCCTTTATATTTTCTGAATTGTTCAAGTTCTGTACAGTGTAAGTGTATTACTTCTGCAGACAAGAAAAAGTTCTTTTTTAAATCACTTCAGGAAAAGTTACCTGATCCTCTTTAATGAAGCATGTTTTCTGTACACCTGATGTGTCCTGAATCTAATGCAAACATGCTGTAGAAGATGCATCAGGCACCGTGAAGTAACTTGCTTTCAGAACAGGTGGACAATTTCAGACATAGGAATTGATCTGAAGGCATTTAAGTATGATACTTAATGGTACAGAATGTACATTTAATAAGATTCACAGTTTGCTTCCTAGAACAGGTGTGCTCTTTTTCCCTCTCGCTTTAGAGGGACTGCTTCTAACATTTCTATCATTAAAAATAATGTTTAGTTTTTGGTAGATACAGAGATAGAAAATTCCTTTCTTTCCTATTCCTAGTTTTCTTTGCAAAGAACTTCTGCTGTAAATAGGTATGAAATTTTATCAATGCTTTTTCTGCATCAATTGAAAAATAGTCTCTATTAACCCTTTAACAATGATGAAATGTATTAACAGATTTTCTTTTGATCCTAGGTTAACACAACTTGTCATACTGTATTTTTATACATTGCTTGATTTGATTTGTTAACATTTTGTTTAGGATTGCATGAAGTGAGATTGACTTGTAATTTTCTAATCTGCCACTGGCCTTGTCTGGATGTGTTGTCAAGATTACAGCAGCCTTATGAAATAAGCTGAGACTGTGCCCTTTTTTTACATCCTCTGGGACACTTTATATACAATTGGAATTATCTGTTACTGAAAGGTTTGATAGAATCTTCCTGCAAAATTATTTGGGCCATGAATGTTTTTGTTTGTTTGGTTGGTTTGTCTTTGTTTTCGTCATTGTTATTTGTGGACAGATTTTAAACTTCTGATTTATTACAATGGTTATATGTCTTTGCAATCTTTCTGTTTCTTCTTTAATCAGCCTGATAAATTAAATGTCCATTTTTGCTGTTTTCAAATGTAAAGAATTTTTGGGGGGTACCAGGTATTGAACTCAGGACCTTGCACTTGTGAGGCAGGCAGCGGAACCACTGAGCTAAATCCCCAGCCCTCAAATATAGTAATAAAACTTTTCATGATATTTACATAAAATTTTATTTTTCAGTCTCTTATTCTATATGTAATCATGTTCTTTTTCATTTCTAATATTACTTTTTCTCTTTATTTTTAAATTTTTCATCCAAGTCCAATAGCACTTAGGCTAGTGACAGTATACTGCTCACTCTCAGTGGTCCATGCCACAGTGCTTGGTTGTGAATCATATTTACACTGGTATAATAATGAAAGTACTGAATATCATTCACAACTTTGATTTTTTCATCTTTTTCCTCTGGAATTTTTAATAATTCTCAGTTGTATTTATTTATTGGCATATTTTGCTGCATCCACTGTAGGTATATTTTTGGCTTCCTGTTCTGGTAGGTGAAGATTTATTTCCTTACATCTGCTTCACTTGACTCACTCATCTTTCACAAACGGCAGTTACATTATAACTTTTGGTTAGACCAATATTTGGCATTTTCATTATTGTGCCAATGTATCTATGATTCATGGTCTACCATTGTAAACACTATGATCATGCTTTTTGTTTTGTTTCATTTTTTCCAAAATGTCATGTTTTTTGTTTTGTTTCATTTTTCACTTGGCGCTTTTTTTTTTTTTTTTCATTTGCTTCTTTTGTGTATGTGGCCAATGGTTCCCCCACTTTCCGGTAGCTTCTCCTTACACATTTTCTCAGGGACAAACACACCAGGTTCTTTCTCCTATCTTGGAGACAGCCTTTTTGCAGACCTTTAATTTCTTTATCTTTCTATACCTGCTATACTGCTATTCCCTGGGCCGTTCTTCTCATGGGATTCCCCTTTTCAGGATCTCACATCCTCCTTGTTTTGTTGGACCCATTATCTGGTATTTTTTGAGATTAGAAACATGAGCAGTCTTCATCATGCCCATGTCTCCGTGCACTCCCTGTTCACCTCCTTCCTCTGGGGTGGTGCCTAGTCACCCTGCAGAGCCTCCCTTCACATCACCATGGAGATGCCCTTCACTTCTCTCCATCACTGGCCTTCCTGCTTTCTCCTTACCTGCTCTTTCTCCATTTCCTCTCTTATTTCAGAAGACAACCTTCTCCATTGCTGAGGAGGGAAATGTTTTGAGACCTCATCTTTATTTTGCTCTCATCCCCCGATGGATAGCTGGCAGGGTCTTACAGAATTCCAGTTTGAAAATCATTTTTCCCCACAACTGTCTTCTTGCTTCTAGTGTTGTGGTTGAGAAACAGAAAGCTACCTTATTCCAGGTCCTTTTACATGACCTGTGTGTTTTATTCTCTGGAAGCTGTCAGATCTCTCTTTTTTGCCAATAAAATGCGAATTGGCAATAATATGTCTTGGTACAGTTCTATTTCATAGATATGCTGGGCCCTTTTAATCCGGAAACTTGTGTCTTTTAGTTCTAGGAAGATATCTCAAATCATCTCAGGGGTCATTTCCAGCCATCTTCTCTGCTTGCTCTTCCTAGAAACCCTTGCTACTCAGATGTGTTCTTCCAAGACTCTGTGTGGGTTTTTTTCTGTGTTTGTTTGCTTGTTTGTTTGTTTTGTGGTACTAGGGACTGAACTCAGGAAACACTGAACTATATCCCAGGTCTTTTTACTTTTTATTTTGAAATGGGTCTAAGTTGCCCCGGCTGGGCTTGGAAAATAACACCCAATGTGTGTGTGTGTGTGTGTGTGTGTGTGTGTGTGTGTGTTACTGGGGACTGAATCTAGGGCCCTTGCCCTAGCTATATCCCCACCCCTTTTCTTTCATTTTTCCTTTTTTTCTTTTTTTTGAGACAGGGTCCTGCTAAGCATCTTAAGTTACCCAGGCTGGACTCGAACTTGTGACCTTTCTGCCTCAGCCTCCCAGAGTGCTACAGGATAGTTATTATATCTTTTCTCTCTTGTTTCTTATTTCTTTGTGATTTTGCTATACTTTCTACATTTCTCAGTTCTAGCTTTCATCCTTTCTATTGCTCTCGTGTTTTGTTTGGTTTGGTTTGGTTTGGTTTCATTTTTGCGACAGAGTCTCACTATGTTGCCCAGGCTGGCCCTGAACTCCTGGGCTCAAGGGATCTTCCTGCTTCAGCCACCTGAGTAGCTGGTGCTATAGGTGCACAGCATTGCATCTGGCTCTAAAAATGTCTTTTATAGATGAGAGGGTTTTTTTTCTCCAATCCAGGATTCTGTCAACATTCATGTATGACATTTGCTTTTTTGTGTCTTTAATTTTTCTAAAAATTTAGAACAAATTCTTCAACCCCTAAGTTTCATTGTTTTTAGTCTTTATAAAATCTGTTTTCTCATGGTTATTTTTAATTTAAACATTTTTGGCAAGAATACTGTATAGGTGATCGGGTGTGTGTGTGTGTGTGTGTGTGTGTGTGTGTGTGTTGTTGATGATGTTTTAGTTTATGTATTTATTATTCCAGTACTGAGTTATACCCCCAGTCTTTTTTATTTTATGTTGAGACAAGGGCTTGCTCAGTTGCCCAGGTTGGCCTCAAACTTGTGATCCTTCTGCCCAGCTTCCTGAACAAATGGGATTCTAGGTGTGCGCCACTATGGCTGGTTTGGTGTGGTTTGTATTGCATTGTAACAAAGGCACAGACTGACAAAATGTCATACTGTTGTTGATACTAAATAAGATCTTCTGGTTAAGGTAGAGTCTACTCAATCTCTCACTATTGTAAAGGTGGGTTTCTTTTTGTAATTAATACTTAAGACAGTTTAAATATTTGATTTCCCAACAACTTTCATGCAGTTCTTTTAGCATCCACTGACAGTTCTTCCCTAAATCATTCATTAGAGATTGCAAAAGGTTGATTTTATAATTCTACCAATATTTCAACATTTATTACATGGCATTCTGTTGAAATAGATTTTTTTTCCCTCCTCCTTCTCCTCTCTGTCTTTTTTAGTATCACTATGGATTCATGGATTTTTTTTTTGAGACAGGTTCTTGATATGTAATCTAGGCTGACCTCAAACTCATGTGGATCTCTTTTTTTAATAAATTTTATTTGATTTTATCCCATTCCCCCCTCAAGCCCCTCCCCTCCAAATTTACAAAAGCTTTGTTTCCATTTTTTCCTGCTATTTTCGCTTTTTTTCTTGTCCCTTCCTTCCTTTCTCCCTCTCTCCTCCCTTGTTCCCCTTCCCATCTGAACCCTTTCTTCTCATTTCCCAACATCCATTTTACATCTCAGTCCTTATTTCCACATTTAGTTTCTCATACCAAAGAAACAATGCAGTATTATACATATGTGTGTCCAATTTATTTCACTTAAAAGAATGGTCTCAAGGTCCATCCATTTAGCTATAAACGTCTGAAGCTCATCCTTCTTTATGGCAGAGTAGTACTCCATTGTATTAAAAAACCACATCTTCTTTATCAGTAGATGGGCATTTGGGCTATTTTCAAGATTTAGTTATTACAAACTGTGCTGCTATAAACATGGGTGTGCATATACCACTGTAGTACAATGCTTTTAATTCTTTCCAGAAGATACCAAGAAGAGGTATAGCTGGGTCAAATGGAACCTTTAGTTTTAGTTTTTTGAGAAATCTCCACACTGATTTCCACAGTGGTTGCACCAGTCTACACTCTCACCAGCAGCAGAGAAGGGTTTCTTTTTCCCCATACCCACTCTAGCATTTGCTATTGGTTGATTTCTTGATAGCAGCCATTCTTTCTGGAGTGAGATAGAATCTCACTGTTGTTTTAATTTGGATCTCTTGAATAACCAGTGATATTGAACATTTTTTCATATATTTATTTGCCATTTCGAATTCATTATCTGAGAAGTGTCTTTTTATTTCAGATGCCCATTTTTGCAATGGCTCTTTATTTATTTATTCATTTATTATTATTATTTTTTTGGTATCGGGGATCAAACTCAGGTCCTTATGCTTGTGCAGCAGGTGGTGAAACCACTGAGCTAAATCCCCAGGCTTGCAATGGCTCCTTAAATTTGAGGGGTCGGATTTTTTTTTTTTGAGTTCTTTATATATTCTAGATAACAGTCTTTTATCTGAATAGCTGGTAAAAAATTTTTCCACTCTGTGGGTTGTCTCTTCACTCTGTTGGTGGTTTCTCTTGCTATGCAAAAGCCTTTTAATGAGATGAGGTCCCAGTTGTTGATTCTTTGTAGTGTTTCCCGTGTGGTCTGGGTTTTGTTCATGAAGTCTTTGCCTACTCCTATGTCCTCAAGCGTTCTACCTATTCTCTCTTCCAGTAGATTTAGTGTTTCTGTTTTAATATTAGATCTTTGATCCATTTAAATTTTAGGTTAGTGAATGGTGAAAGATATGAGTCTAGTTTCAATCTTCAGCATGTGGAAAGCCAGTTTTTCTAGCACCATTTATTAAAGAGACTATCTTTCTTCCAGTGAAGGTGTTTGGCTTCTTTGTCAAAGATAAGGTGGCTGAGTGTGTTTGAAGTTGTTTCTGCATCTTCTAGTCTGTTTCATTTATCCTCAGGTCTGTTCTTTTGCCAGTACCATGCTGTTTTTATCACCATAGCTTTGTAGTATAATTTCAGGTCAGGGATTGTAATCTCCTCTGCCTTGCCTTTGTTGCCCAGAATTGCCTTTGCTATTCTAGGTCTCTTCTGGTTTTAGGGTTGTTTTTTCTAATTCTGTGAGATAGTCTGTTGGGATTTTGATTGGGATTGCATTGAATCTGTTTAACAATTTTGGAAGTATGGCCATTTTCACTATATTGGTTTTTCCTAGGGCTAGGGATTTAGCTTAGTGGTTCTGTCGACTGCCTCACATGCACAAGGTCCTGAGTTCAATCCCTGGTACCAAAAAAAATAAATAAATAAAATATATTGGTTCTTCCTAAATATAGATCTCTTTTTAAAAATATGTTAAAGTCTATTATTTTCAGTACACTGTATGTTCTAATTGTCTTGATTTTGAGCAGTGGGGGCCCCTTCTTGCCAGCTCCTGTGTCCTTTAGACTTACACCTTTTGCCATTGAGCACTTCTTGGCTTCTGGCATAAAAGTATATTCTGGGTTCACTTTTGACATACCTTGTACAAACATTAGGTACTAAAACTCAATACCTTAGATTCAAAAATCCCAGAAAGAAAGCCATAGCTTTAACTCATCCAAAATCTGCTTTGGTTTTAATTTCATTTTGTTTTTCATTGCTAGAAATTCCTTGCCTCTTTTATAAATTCAGCTATGCATTTAAAAGATATCCGTTTAATTTAATCTAACATTTCGAGGAATTTAGTACTGGGAATGTCTCTGACTTTTCAAAATGGTGGAGCTTTTTTTCTATTCTAAGTGCCAAAGAAGATTTGAATGTCTTACAGAGAGAAATTTCAACATAAGAAATTAATATATTCATGAAAAGATTAAGCTAAAGTTCATTACTTTGATTCAGAAAGTGATAAATATACAAGGTAATAGTTTGTGAAGACTTTTATGCTGGTCTTATGTATTCAAGTTTAACAAATTTTGGGTTTTTTTTTTTCCCAAAGGAAATTCCACTCTTCCTCATACAACCAACCTACTAGAGCTTCTCCAGATTCACGGCTCACCCAAATCATGGAACAACATCAGCAAGCTTTGGTGCAGCTGGCCGAGGTGCAGCCCAGGGAGGGGTCCTTTTCCAGCATCACACTTCTGCCCATCTTGTCCAGTGTGGAAAGTGAATCCCAACTCAGTTCAGAGAGAAATCAAATGAAAATTATTCGTAGCAATTCCGAAGGCTATCTGTTTCAACCAGAAAAGGGGAAAAAGAACAGGAAAAGAAGCAGCGTTAAGGTAATAAAAGCATCATTTTCTGCCACGTAACTTTTTAATTTTGACAATGCAGATGGACCTTGATTTTTGTTTCCCTGAACTGGAGCCCTGAATTAGGGTCATTACCGAGGATGCCCATTTCCACATCCTTTCAGTTCATCTCAAAGAAGGGTCTAATTTGCAGACAGGCTGTAATCCTCCTTTTATCCCCAGCTTAAATATCACTCCCTCAGAGAAGATTCCCCGCCCACCCTCTATCCTACACAGAGGCTCCATGTACATTCTCATTTCTGAAAAGAAGAGCAAATAAGTGGAGTTACTGAAAGTGCCTATGGCCACTGTATTCCCCCACATCCTCCTTTGGCTCCTCCACACCTGAGGACTTTTCTGGTCCTCACCTCACCCGCTGCTGCAGTAAAATCCCAAGGCTAGCCAATGAATGAACTTTCCTCTGAAATGGTACTGATAAGATTGACCATTATAGCTCCTTTACACACTTAAATCCTTTTATATCCTGTGCATTTCTCCACTGTCAAAACCAATAAAAACCCCTCAGAAAAGAGCACTTGCTTCTAGTGTCAAATAGCATATTACTTTGAATTTCATTGCTGTCGTGGAACACCTGAGGCAAGGTAGGCTTCAGTGTAGCTGTAGTGTTAGTGTGTGTGAGAGGAAAAGATTGCATCACCAGACAGGAAGACAGGGAGCAACTCCCAAGTCATATTCACTTTTATAAAAACTCACTCTCCCAAGAAATAACCCAGGTTCCACCAGAACTACCTTAATTCCTTCCAAGAGTTGTGCCACAAAGATGTAATAACCTCCCACATCAGAAAGGTCCAAAGTCTTTGTAAACAGGGAAGGGTGGAGGGGGAAAAAAAAAGAAAGGTCCATGTTACCTCCCATCATCACCACCCCAAAGATTGAGACTTCAGCGCATTAGCCTTTGAGGAACATACTTCAACCATTTCCAAAACACAGCAAATACTAAGAAGAAGGCTGGGGGATACATTCTATTACAGGTCAGCTTGGAAGCAGCAGGCCTGTGATGGGCTGGGTTCCCTGAGAATAGACTCTGCATGGAGCTTGGAGTGCAGGAGCTTCCTGAGGGTTTCCCTCGGAAACAAAGTCTGTGAGGGAGTCAGGAGGCCAGGTGGGCAGAGGGAGGAGCCAAGCTGTGTGCAGATGCAGCAGAAGCCTCACCAGGGTTCAGAGGGTTCCTAGTTAGGTTGGCAGTTTTTAGGTGGTGAACCCTGGCTTTTGTTCCAACATTTTGACCAGCTACTAGAGAATGACTGCCCTGGTGGAGATTGTGGCTGAGTAGAGCTGCAGTGCTACTCAGCCACAGGCAGTTCTTAGGTAGGGACCCAGTTGCCAAGCATCAGCATAAGGCTCCCAGCAGCTGGGCCAGTGAGCACCTCAGCCTGGAGGGCACCCACTCTAGGTCAGTCTGGGGCAAGTCAAGTGGATCACTGTTGCTTCAGTTCATCCTGTATGTTCTGAATTCCTACTAGAAATTGTGGTGGGTGTTGAGATGTACAGATAAATGAGCCATGACCCTCCCCTAGAGAAAGCTTGGCATTATGTGGATCTGGAAGACAGACTTGTAGGTGGCTTCAGTATACTGTTTCAAGCAAAATAAGATGTATCACAGGGAGCACAGAGGAGCATGGAGGGGTATACAGATCCTAACCTGGGGATCAAGCAAAGCTTCAGGAAATAATCCCAAGCTGAGTCTTAGAGAATGGTGGAGAGCTGCCAAAGAAGAAAGACAAGAGCATTTCAGGTAGGGCAGCAGCTAAAGCCAGGCTTCAGGAGCTATGACAGTATGGTGCATGCTCGGAATTGGCAGGCACTCACATTGTTGTAACTGAAGGTGAGAAGCACAAGATGTGGAGTGATGTGGGTGGAGAGATAGGTTGGGGCAAGATTTAGATGATCCTGTTCTTCATTTGAAGCAGAAAGTCTTGGTTGGGTGTGATGGCACATACCTCCTTCATGGCTGAGGCAGGGGAATCCCAAGTTTGAGCTCAACCTGGAAAAATTAGGGACTTAACAAAACCCTACATCAAAAAATAAAGAACGGGGCAGGGATTTAGCTCAGTGGTTCCACCGCCTGCCTCACAAGCGCAAGGACCTGAGTTCGATCCCAGGTACCAAAAAAAACCCAAAAACAAAAGAAGAAAGAAAGAAAGAAGAGTTGGGGTTGTATCTCAGTGTGAAAGCCCTGGGTTCAAATCCCCAAAACAGGAGGGGGGTGGGTAGAAGATCTTTATTCTGTAGGCCAGAAGCAGATCATTGAGAAATTTTCAACATGGTCATGTTTATATTTTTAGAAAGTGGCTCTGGCAGAGGTGTACAGTGCAGTGCACATATGTGCCAGCATGTAGAGGCTAAGGCAAGACCTTGTCTCCAAAAGAAAAAAGTCCCAGGAACTTATAGGATCATGAAGTCAGTAGACCTTCATCTGGGCCTCGGAGAAGAAGAAAAGAAAAAGGATGCCCTCAAAGAGAAAAACGAGGATCCAGGCAAAAGTGGTCTGAGCTCATGCTACAGACAGGAAAGAAGCCTGCCTGCTCCTGGAGGGCTCATCTCTGGGGCCTTCTGTGTGCCCCAGGTCTTCAGCTCATTCCCACCATGCACCCCAATCCCCAGCTCTTTGACCTCCTCATCCTAACTGTCCTCCCTCATATCCTCTATCTTGCTGGGACTCCCCACCCCCATACCTGTCCTGGCTTGGAGTCTGGGACCCCAGTTCCACTGTAAATAAGGAGGCATACATTTCTGGAAGCACAGGTCACTTTTCTTTTGCCACAGAAACATCAGTACACAGCAGGGAGGTTCTACAATACTGTTGGTACTATTTTCAAGTATTCTGTAAATAGGTTGTGTAGACAAAAGCAAGAAGCTGGACATCATATATAGTATTATTGTTTCTACCAGAAAATGTATTCACAGCTTTGGACCAACATATTTTCAATGTGAAGACAACTTGCTCACTCCAGAACTTCAGACTGCCAGGGCCTAAAATACAACTCAAACATAGAACCTCAGAAGAGAACCATCCCTGTTAGTTCTTGCCAACTTTAGGCTGTTGTTAAAAGTACACACTTTTAAACTTAGTTCTTGGCCAGCAGGATTTACTGGAAGTCATGGACTAGGTCATCCCTAAACCCTCAGCTCTGTCATCTAATATCGCTGTGACTTGGGCAAGTGATTCATGGGAGATTAAATGAAATAATGTATTATTAGCTTATTCCCTAATAAAAAGAGACATACTATATGTTAATTTTCTTTTCCTTCTTCCTTCTTTTAGTAATTTGAATTCATGTTTTACTGAGAAAAAAAAATAGAGGAAAGTGCCCTGGAGATAATGTGTCACCATAAGTCTAAGAGCATGAGAGGGAAGAGAAGAGGAAAGAGAATTTCCACTTACTGCCTCTCAAGCCCTCTTTCCAACTGGGAAAATCCCTCTCTTCCTGCTTTCCGCCAGGAATGTCACAATCCATATGTATCCATTTTCTCAGCCCAGTGCCTTCAACCTACATCTGACAAATGCACAGAAGCACTCTTTGTCCTTTAAGCTATTCCAGAAGCTAAAACGTCTTAGAACCAAGCTATTTATGTAAGACAGCAGGTAGCCGGAGCACCAGACAGAGGGAATCATTATCCAGGTCATGCCCATTTGCTAGTCACATCAAATCTGGTAGTTTCCAGGGGAATCACCCTGAATCACATTAAAAATTTGAGGATTTGTAAAGGTAATAGGCCCAACTCCCTTTCCTCTTCGGGCAGTTCTGTTATGACTGATTTCTGAATACCAGGCATTGTCCATGCCATTAAACCCAGACATCAGGCAGTAAGAGATTAACATAGTGCAAGGTGACGAGCAGTATAAAAATATATTTGTGTCACAGCCCACCACAAAGTAGCTGATTAGGGAGCTTTGTGGTAGCTGACTGTCAAGCGGCAGTAATTAACTTGGGTGTTTGTTATCACAGACAATCTGGGTATTGCTGCTTGACTCCTTGGAAGAAGAGGTTTATTTGGATTAAGTTTAGCAACCACAGAACAAATTTCCTTCACTTGCTGTTCCTGAGAATTTGAGGCATTGTTTTTTGTCCTGCTTTTCAGTAACTTTCTCACACTTACACATCCAAGGAATTTTTTCAATAGCTCTGCACTATGCCCCAAGCAGGGTACAACATTTCAGAGTAAAACAGGTCCTCACTGAAGAGTTAATGTCATATTCAATTCAGGCATGCTCTGCCCCAAGTTTGTAATAAAAAATCACTCATCTGGCTTGAGAAGAGTTGTGATTAGTTACTGGTAGAAACCATCCATCAGGAAAGTCCTTTGCCATCGTTTGCTGAAGCCAACTGTGAGCACTGGATCAGAGGGGCTGGTTGGGTCCTAACAGCCTACAGACAGTGCCAGGGTCAGTGGATGTCAGCTCGTGTGTGTTTATGCAAAGTCAAGCAAGGGACCCCATCAGGGACTTGTTGAGAGTGTGCCTCTATTTTCCAACTTGTTCCCCCGTGTTCAGAGACTTAACAGTACTGCCAATGTTGATTATTTCTATTATTGCTATTACTTTGGCATTGTACTACTCTGACCTTTTAGTCTTAGGAAAGCTGATGAGAGGTAAATCAAAGTAAATTCTGGGGATTATTTTACAATAAAGGACTATTGGAGAGACAGAAAGTAGATTAGTGGTTGCCTAGGGCTGGAAGGGGAGGAGGGAGGGGTTTTTTTGAGGGGGGTGATGAAAATGTTCTAAAATTGGATTGTGATGTTCACATAACGTGGTGAGTATACTAAAAGTTACTGAACTGTACAACTTCAAATGACTGAATTTTGTGGTATGTGAATTCTTTCTGAATAAAGCTGTTTAAAAGACTTTAGATGGAGCGAGATCAAACAGAACTACACTGCTAAGAACCAGTTCAAGATTACTTGTGCCAAACGTCAGCAAATCCAGGATTTTCATTTCCAGTCACCCAGAACAAACTCTGTTAGGAGCCACCACTGTCCCTTGAGAAACGTCACTTTGCTGTAGTCACCTCTCCCGTAAAGGGATCAGCAGCACTTGGGGATGGCCCTATTGGGCCACATGCTCTCCCTTCATTTTGATGTGCAGTGCCAGACCCTTGACTATGTTTTTCCGTGCTAAGCTAGATGTTTATTCAAGGTGATAGTAAGAACTGTGGCTGGAGATCAATGAGCAATTATTCATGCTTCACAATGTGTCTTTTGTGATTCAGTGGAATGATTAAAAGTTAAGCTGCTTCAGACTAGGGATGAGATTTCTTGGCACTGATCATTTCTTTCTCATCATCTTTGGACAAATTGAATTTATGGCTTGGATATGAGTAGGGTTTTATTTCCTTCCTTTTCATTATTGGTTTACTCTACCAAATAAATAGTAATTTAGTGATTGCAAAACAGTGTCACAGATGCATATGTATGAAAAACAGCAAATTTGCAACTGCAAGTGTAAGTTATGAGTTCACTCACCTATTAAAAATTACTAAAGGTTTTAAAATGTGACAGTACATTGTAATCAAAGTTTAGACAAAAGAGTAATCTTATTGCTCCATTGCTAGTAGAAGTGTAATTGATAAACATGTTCATTTGATCTCAATAATTACATTTCTGTTAACATCTTAAAGAAATAATCACAGTAGCCCACAAACAATGCTTATTCAGGTGCCTTAAATGGTGAACATTTAGAGAAAGACCTAAACAATTTAACTATGATTAGACAATAGGACATTATGCCTAAAAATCACATTTTTTAAAACTTCAGCAAAATAGATTGTAATGATAAATGCTTAGTGAAAAAAAAATAATTTTCAGTGTGTGTAAGTGATGTTTTGTTTTGTTTTGTTTTTTGTTTTTTGAGACAGGGTCTTGCTGTGAAGTCCAGGCTGGCCTCAAACTCACAATCCTCTTGCCTCAGCCTCCCAAGTGTATGCACCACCATACCCAGCTAAATTCTATTTTCTTACAGGAGAGTTATTATTTGTAATGATTTTAATCCAAAGGATTCCTTAAACTACAATTCTTTCTTCTCTCACTCTGTAGAATTAGATGCACTGAAAGACTTTTGACCATGAGTGTTTAACACTGAACGGGGCAAATTCTGTTTACAGAACTTTTAATCCTTATAGTAGAGAACTATGGCCTCTGTGGCATATCATTTTCACCTTCTGAATTGTGACATTGAAACAATGAAATATTAGGAATAATGTGTTAGCAGCAAGTAACAGAATTACCAGGAGTTTCAAAAATATGAGTTGTTTTCTTTCACACAGCTAATGTACAGTTCGGTGGCTGTTAGCACTGGTGTTTCTATAGCTCAAAACATCAGAACCAAAATTTGTGTGCTTCCCCTATGGTTTCTTTCCTGTCTGCAGGATTCCCCCTTCAGCTCTGTGAATCACATCCACTCTCATGGAAAGGAAGAAAGGACAGGAGAGGGACCGTCCCAGCCTGATAAGAGTTTTCCAAAACTAATTGTGTACCATGAGGATGTTCACTCACTGTGGAGAGGACAGGGCGAGGAATGCAGTCAGACCTCCTTACCCATGGGTTCTGCATCTGTGGATTCAACCAACTGCTGACTGAAATTTTTTTTTTTTTAAAAAAAAGAAATGTGTCTGCATTGAACATGTAAAGACAGTTTTCTTGTCATTATTTACTAAATAACAATACAAAACTCTTTCCATAGCATTTATATTGTGTTAGACATTATAAGTAGTTGAGAGATGATTCAAAGTATACAGGACAGTGTGTGTAGGATATATGCAAATATTACACCATTGTATATAAGAGACTTGAGCATCCTTAAATTTCAGTACCTGTGAGGTGTCCTGGAACCAGACTCTTACTATCCAAGGGATGACTACGTTTGGCTTTTGAGCCTCACATTCAGAGAAGCTAATTGGCATGATGTGTTGGTAGTCAATACACCACTGTGAGTAGGACACGTTCTTGTAATGGCTGGCACAATGTGTATACATCAATTCATTCTTGAGATTATGGAGATACATGTAATTCTGTCAAACATGAAATGTTTTCTTTTAACTGGACTATCTATCAAATTCTATCTTAAAGGCTCACTAGATATACTGTCTCTATCTGAACTTAACAAAATAATTAAGAGGAGCTTTCTAAACCTAAGAAAATGCTGTGCCTTGACCTTCACATCCAGACCGGCAGCATCATAGAGTTAGTACAGAACAGCTGCTTCTTCAGCATGGTACTTTTTCTCCACTCTACTCAGCTTCTATGTGCCCTAAGATAATCACTGTCATACAGATCATCTCTTTCCTACCCCTTCCCTCCCAGAAAAAGAAACCAAGTTAATTAATGAAGTGAAAAACAAAAATATTTAGTTTCCTAAGGAGCAATGAAGTAGCAAGCCTAAACTTCAGTTTTGATGTCAAAAGCTACAGTTTGGGTGTTGTCTTTTTCCTATTGCCAGGAGAACATTAGGGTTTTTCCTAGCTACTCTTGTGCTCAAGTGGCATAATCTGATAATTAAATTGCCTCACTCTGTTGCTCTGGCCTTTTATTTGTGCAATACTAATACGAGTTTAAATGTAAAATTTTGTGTGCCCTTCCAAATATCAAAAAATCACACCAACCAAACAAAATGAATTTTTCAGTGGGTCTTGCCAAGATTCTTAAATAGTTACTTTCCTTTGAGTTTTAGGAATGAATTATAGTTGTTTTTACCTTACAATTATCTTTTTTTTCCCAACAATCAATAGCAGAATTCTAAGATTGCTACCTATGTGCCTCTCATGGACAACAGTGTAAGTTCATTGGACAAGGGCTGTCTTTTTGAAGCCATGTGCTTATTTGATGGACTTGCATTGCCTCTTCCAGGGAAATCATATGATTTAGAAAACTACTCAAGACTAGATATCATAGGAATAGCAGCGGTGGTAAAGTGGCAATGTATATGTTCTGTTAAAAATAGTAATAACAGCCAGCCAGGGTGGTGCACGTCTGTAATTCCAGCACTCGGGAGGCTGAGGTAGAAGGATGGTTGTGAGCTCAAGGCCAGCCTATGCTAGTGAGTTCAAGGCCAACCTGAACTTTATAGTGAGACTGTCAAAAAAAAAAAAATGGGGGCCAGGCATTTAGCTCAGTGATGCAGCCACCTGCCTCTAAAGTGCAAGGTCCTGAGTTCGATCCCTGGTACCAAAAAAAAAAATAAAAGGAATAACAAGACAGCACGTTACTAGCTTGAAATTTTTATTTCCAATTTTCAGAATTTCAGTTTCCTTTATTGCAGAAATGGAAAGTCAAAACATGTTAGCTAATCAGATACACATTATCAAAGAGACTATCACCAGTAACTACCATCAGAATGGAAGAACTGTCAGGATATGCTCCCATTCTCTGACCATCCACACAGGCTTCTGTTCATCATCTTCCTTCTCCCTTTATCCAACTATGACTGTTTGAGGGAGGAGGGACACGAGTCTTTAAAAGAAACTGTTTCTGTGGTTGTATTTTCAGAGTTCTAAGCTGAAAGGCTATCAAAAAAGAGACGTGAGGCTTGGAGGCCTGGGACCTGACTTTGAGTCCATCAGAGACAAAGTGAGTGAGATATGCAGAAACAGTTCTTTCAGGCTTGACCTCGCCCATCTGTCCTTCAGCAAAACTATACAGAGGTGCTCCCCAAACCAAGCCCAATTCAGATATCTCACACTGAACAGAAATCCTTGGACATAGCCCTGGAAATAGAGCAGAGGCCCAGCCACTCTTTTTACTACAAAATAAAAATATTAGCCAGTGTTGTTTTAGCCACCACCCTTCAGTTATTTTTGAAGGCCTGCATGGAAAAGTGGGACACATGCACCTGAAAAGGGATGCATGTATTATGTGGCCATTGGTCTTTCCTGACAGAGTAGTCTTGATAATTTTGAAGAGTGGCTGCAGAGAAGACATTTAGGTCTGAGTTCCCCAACCCCTGAGAAGTGCATCCACTTTATTCTCTTTTCTCCTGTGAAAGGAGATCTTCATTTAATGTGTTTTAACTGCAGTTGCACTCAGGCGTAAAAAGAGTATAGTTTAAAGTTGGAAGCAAAAATGAAAATAAATTGGGTAAATGCAACAAAGAAGGGGGTGAAGTGATTTGCCACTGTTAAGAGAGTACTGGGTGTGCTGTTTGCAGTGATGTCCTCATCACAGTGCAACTCAAGGAGAAACACTAACTTAACCAGTTCACTGCTGTCACCTTACACATGGTGATCCACTTTTCCTGTGGTGCTGATGCAATGCCTGGCTCCCTGAAACTAGTGTCATTCTAAACAGAGAGCAGAGAGAGCTAGCAGGACCTGTGATTTATCATAACTTTGCTTCTCCAAACAGATGCAAAAATTAAAACAGCAAAAGGAATATGCAAAACAAGTTAAGGAGTACAACATGAAGACACTCTCTATTCTATCCAAACCACAAACAGCAAAAACTGAAAATAAATTGGTCATTCCTCGGCAGAAGGTAAGAAATTCTCATGAAGGCATTTTTAAAATCAGAATTAAAAGAAAATTTTTGTTACTTCTTAATTTTAAAAATATTGAGGGCCAGGGATTTAGCTCAGTGGCACCACGTCTGCCTTGCAAGTGCAAGGTCCTGAGTTCGATCCCTGGTACCAAAAAAAAATTGCCCATGTGTTTGGAACCTAGGAAATGTTTTAGTAACTGTCAGTCCTCCAACTACCTGTCACCCACAGATATCCATATTACCACAGCAAGCATACACAATGCCTTAAGATTAGACTTTTTATTTTCCTGAAGTTCATTATTTCCACATAGTTTCTTCCAAGTACACTGTTTTAGGTTTGCTACACGTGAAAAGTAACTAGGGAGGTGATTTCTTAGAAGAAAACAGCAATCCTGATTGACTATCAATTTATTCTCAATCATGAAGTAGGTTTCAAGCAGATTAGTGTCTTGCTGTTTAATGTCAAAGAAAAGCCTTCCTTGCTTCTTTCAAGTTCATTCCCCTATGGTTTTCCATAGGGGCTGTAATATATGTTTTCCTCTAGCAAAGAAAAATGATTCCAAGAAATACAGAACGCTCTCTCACTCAGATGTCATCCACCCAAGGGTTGCGATGGAATGAAGTGTGTACTCTAGAGACCCAGAGCTTTGCTGTGCAAGTCTCTGCCTCCATTGATCTAGACAACCCCAGTAAGGATATGGGATCCTTTGCATGAGGGATAAATGATCCTTTGATGCCTTCAGGGATGGGTACTTCATGTTCTCTTTCAGAGACCATCATATTTTCTATTTATTGCCTTTTTCCTCAGACCTTGAAGGCCTCAATCCTCTTGATTGAGTTTCCATGGTGCCACTTTTTCTTTTTTTCTCCAATCCATTATATTTCCACGAAGAGCTTCAAGGCCACAAATCTATAATTAGAAGTTCCTATAGATTTCACCTGTACACAGTGAAATAATCGGGACATTTTTTCCTATGTTTTAGAATTTTTCCCCTTCTAGGACCTAAATATGCTATCCATTCCCATCTCAGCTATAAGCAAACTCTTTCTTTTTTTTCTGGTACCAGGAATTGAACTTGGCCTCAGGCTTGCCAGGCAGGTGCTGTGCCACTGAGCTAAATCCCTAGACTAAGTAAACTCTTTTTAAAATACAAAACTGACATAAAAAAAGATTTAGAACTAATACTAGGTGATCTCTCTCCTTCTCTCTCTCTCTCTCTCTGTTTCTCTGTCTCTGTCTCTCCCTGTCTCTTCTCTCTGTCTCTTTTTCTCTCTCTCTCCCTCCTTCCCTCCCTCCCTCTCTCTCTCCTTACCTCTATCCCTCTCTTCCCTCGTGTGTGTGTGTGTGTGTGTGTGTGTGTGTGTGTTATGCTACGGATCAAACCTAGGGCCTTGCACATGCTAAGCAACCACTCTGTACTGAGCTACACCTCCAGCTCTAGTGATTTCATTTTTATCATGCCTTTAAGAACTGATATCACTGGGAAAAGTCTCTAGGTTTCTACTGATATGCTAAACAAAGAAAATAATTCAACCTTTAATACTTTCTAGAGTTCTAAGAGTCTACAAACCAGAACAGTTAGTATAACAAAGGAGGCTCAATTTTACATCACCACAGTGATACCTTTGGTCTCAAACTATAACATCCTCTTTGGGTAGCAAGTTCTATTAATAACTCCCTAATGGAAGTTTGATCTTAATAAGGCTGCAAAAAAGTAAGTATATCAGACACATAAAAAAATCTATTTTTAAATATGTGGTAAAATTTCAGTTTTATGAAGAAAATATCCAAGGAACACAATAGCTGTATGCATCATTCTCCAAGTCTTTTCCTCCCTGCAACATAGTGTTTTGTGGCTAATTTATTTTGCTTAAACTGGGTATTTTGTTGCATTTGCACTTTCTATTTGATCTCCATTTCTACTCATATTGTAGCAATCAATGTCTCCATTTGTATTATGAATAAACATACAGACTAGCTTTAATTTAAGAAATCTAGGGCTTGCTTCCTATTTTAAATAAAATTTTATCTTTATGTTTTCAGGCTTTGGAATATGCAAAAACCATCCCCAAACCAAAACAATCAAATCTGACTGACCAAACAACAAAGGAGAAAAAAAATCCAACCTATGATGGGAAAGAAGAAAGTTTACCTGAAATCTCCCTACTAGAGATACTACAGAGCAGACACGAGAGGGAAAAACAGGCTGTGGCTGCTTTCAAAGTTCTTCATATTGTCTAGATAGCACTTGGTAGGAGATCAAAAACACTCCAAGAACAGACACACAGAAAAAACTCCAACCAACTCATCTGCATTGTGAATGATAACCCAGTACCATCATTCAAACACTGCACAGGATTTAATAGGGGCTGTCATGTTATGGTCCCATTCTTCACCTTCTAGCAAGAAAATATTTTTAATTATTTATTTTCAAATCAGTTAGAATTTTGGGCTGATAAATAACTAGAGAATAAAACCTTTAGTTTCTTATCGGATCTTTTGATTTCTTAAACTATCTGTGCCCTTCTTTAGCAAATGAAAACCTTGAAATTACCCAGAATTAAATATAAACACTTCAGATTCTCTTAAAATGAACTCATCAGTACTCATCAGTAAATTCTGAGATAACATTTCAAAAATATTACTCAAATATGCAAGTTTACCCAAGGATTTGTATGTAAAATTTAAAAAGAATGAAGGTAGATGTAGATGTATCTATTAGAATAGAACAAATTCCAGTATCGTTCACAGTGTCAAAATATTAGTTATAAATCCCCAACAAGTTCAGAAATGCCCAACTTAGGCAACTCTGAGAAATACACTTTATCAAAACCAAGTATATAAATTTGCTAGGCATCTTGCCACCACAAATATCTTAAAATATTGTCAAATGTAAGCTTCCACATAAAAAGTAATATTAGATAAAAGAGAAATATTCTACACTTTACTACTGAATTTGATATTAATAAATATTTCAATTTATTTATATATTTTGATGTATTATAAAAATTGCCAGTCTTTTTTTTTAAGAGTAGGAAATATTTATTGGGAGAAAGAAAGCTTCTGCCTAAGAGAGACAGAAGGGGGACCGGAAAGTGGGTTGCCTGCCCACCCCACTTTTCAAAGATATTTTATACAGCAAACCCATGTGGTGAGGCGGGTAAAAATTTTCCAGTCTTAAAACTACTAAATATATTTAATTTTTTACTTCCTTCACTGTATTTGGTGGGCATTGCATTCTCAGGTGAACATATCCAAAAATGTATAATTTTAACACCAGTTTAGGGCAGATCTGTTTACTCATGGGGCGTAAAGACTAGCTTTGGAAATTCAAAATTCTGTGTTATATATATTTTACATATATAATGATATGATATAAAGGCTGTCTATAGTAACTTTTTTTTTGAAACTGGAAGCAGTTTAGAGTTGAGAGTCTGGAAAAATAAATATCTGAAGAGTACAAGAAAACTGGTAAATCATGGTTCAGTGGTTTTTGGAAAATAATATATGAGGAGTTAGTGCCACAAAATCACAGCCCAAACTACTTTAAAATGTATTTTTGTCAAACTACTTTAAAATGTATTTTGTATCCTTCAGGATACATGGTGAAGACATTTCTAGAAACATTAATTTTTTTCCTAAATGGCTTTAAATTTAAACTAACTGTGGGATGTCAAAAGAATGCATATAGAGACAGTCCCATACTTTCATACTTAAAGGAACAGAGTGAAATTTTTAAATTGTCTATTTCAACTAGAGTAAAAGAATTTAGCGCTTGAAAAGAATTTATCTTGTTCACCTGCCAACTTTTCAATAGAGGAAATAGGGGCCAAGGAAAGGTAAGTGACACTCAAGTCCTTCTGCTCTGTTCAGGAGAATGGGAGAGCAGCCAGGTCTCAGTCCCCGGTCTCTGCACACCAAGAACAGTGCTATTGGGTTCCTTGTCAGTAGAAAGAGGATGTTCTTGTTTCTCGGTGTGGGCAAGGAGCACATAATTGCTATGAATTTCAAGCTGGGCCTGAATTTCCTTAAGTTCAGTTTTTAGAAATATACCTTACTATGTACCTGATGATTTTTAAAACATGTACAATCTGGCAGATTTTCTAACCAACACTGGTAAAGTTCTAATACACATAGAAAGCAACTCAAACTTTGATGCTGACTGATAAAAGACATTCTCCCCTACCCCATCGAAACACTTCTAAACTTGCCATCACCATTTTTCTGATAGCTTGCCTTTGGTCCTGTGGTTAAATCCTTCCAACACTTTTACATATCCTGTCAAAACCAAGCAGGTTAAGTGGCTTAGTTGATGTCAAACCACACTTTTGCAAGCTCCTTGTCCCCAAAGCCAGTTTTCACCATCCAACACAGAAGACTATGTACATCAGAATTCTTTATACAATGCCAACTGGCATCTAAAATGACTTTGGCTAAAGAAATAAAATCTGCTTGCTGAAAGTTTGAAGTTGAAGTCTAAGAATGGATTAGAATGGCCCGTGAGCCCCAAGTCCACTCACAATAGTAATTTCAGTGGAATGTCACAAAGCTACCACCACCCTAGGACAGGAGAGAGACTGCAAACAATAAATGACAAATACTTTTTTGTTCTTTCTTTAAACTATGCTAACAACAACAATATTGATCTTTTTTAAACCTAGGTGGATCAGTGACCAATTTTATAACATTTCTGTTTCAGATACTCAAGAAAATAGAAACAACCTGGCTGATAGAAAACAAGGAACTTTAAACTTCAGTGATGTAATAAGAGAAGCCCTGTATTTGACCAGATGTTATATATGGCATTGAAAGACATGGTATAATTCTGCCTAATCTCTGTGAGCTGGTACAAATAAAGGCCTTTTGAGCCATCTATTCGCTCTTATTACAGCCTCCTTTCTGCAGTGTTTTTTCATCTTGAGTTTCCAACAATAGCATCCTCTTAAAGGGAGCTTTTTTTTTTTTTTTACAAGTAGCTGAATTTAATGACAGCTGTTTTCTTGATATTGTTTTGTATAGTAAGGAGTCTCTTGGGAGTTATCCAGAAACCAAGTCAAGAAAAGACAATACCGAGGAACAAAATAAAAGGTAAGCCTAGCAAAGGCACTGATGCCTAATGGTTCCAATCGGGGCCTTATTATTGGTTAATGAATCATTGTCAAAACATTGCAGCAAGCATGAGCGTGCACAGTGTAGTCTATAGTGAGAAAATGACTCTTCATCCCAACAGTTATTAACTGGGAGTTGTTTGAAAACACGTCCAGTAATTATAACAACACTGGAGCTAATTGAGAACTTTGAGTTCCTAGCAAATGACCTACAATAGCAGACTAGATCAACTCAGGGGAGGATTCTTTTCTAATTACTTATTGAAAAGCAGCAGAAGATGAATTGAATTTGAGTGATAGTCTTGCAGATATCAGGGCAAGTTTAGCTAATTCTCTCCCAAGATGTGCTTCAAAATATATATAATATTGCCAGTATATTAGGAGTATTTGAACCTAGAAAATTGTTAAAGAAAAAATCAGGATTTTCCTCCTAAGTACACCTTTTACCTGAGTAAGTTTTAAATAATGTATATTTCATCCAATTTCAAGTATTCATAGGATGACTATAGGGCTTCTCTTCCCTGATGTTGTTTCTATAAGCTCTATTTTCAGTGGGTAAAAATGGAGAGACAAAAAGATACACAACTTCACCTGCCTCACAAGCACAAGGTCCTAATTTCAATCCCTGGTAACCCCCCTCCAAAAAAGAGATATACAAATCCTCCATTTGCCTCTTTGTTTTCCCAGTAAGTGAAGGATTGAAAATGGTAGCACAGAGTGAAATTTTTTAGTTACTGTGGATTTTGCTTAACCTTACAGAGCTCACTCTCCCTAGATTCATATCTTACAAGTTGACTATATAATGCCAGACATAATATTATTTCTGTACTATAAAGATAAGGCAAAGATAAAGTATCCATTCTAATAAAAATTTATTCCATTTTAAAAATATATACTGAAGTAGGGTCGCAGAGCAGCTGAAAATCTGATATTCAACATTATCCCCTAACCCCACTGCCTCCAGACTAATCCCAGTATTTGTTTCTCTTCACCCTGTAGCTTCATCAAGCAAAATCACACATTATTCTCATAATAGGACTGAGAAAGCATAAAATATCTCAGTTTCCTAAGTAAATATCTGCTTTTTTAATCTACTTTTGATGGTAATTTCCATTCATCCATTCATCCATTCATCTCATTCCCTAAATTATTTATTAGCCTGAAAATATTCTAATTTTTCATCTTGATTACTTAATTCGGGCTCAATAAAATAACTGGAAAGTTGGCACCTTTCCAAAATGTTATGAAAATATACATTTCAAAATGCAATAAGATGCAAAACAAATAGGATTTTTTTCTCAGCTCTCTCTACCTGCAATACCAGAACTCTTTGAAAAATATGAAGAGAGTAAAAAAGAATTTGGTGGACAGGATTTATCTCCCTTGCTGCCTCTCCATTGCTTTTTCATTTCCCCCTTATAAACCTGGGTAATGTAAGTAATTAATTTTCAATAAGTTGGATAAATGGTCTTCTGCTATTAAATAGGTCTAACAGGTTGAGAGGATTATAATAATGTGAGCATTCCAGGCAAATGTATTTAGTGAAGCCTTGAAAATTTCAGATAAGAGTTCACAAACACCCTTTCACTGAATTGGCAGCTCATAGACACCAGCCCTGATACTGTGGCTGCCAACCTGGTTTTTCAGATTACACTCTATTGCTGAGGTCCCAAACAATTGCAGTAGATGTTGAAATAGCAGATATACCTATGGTGCAAATTTGGTGGTAGAGGAAACAACTGTCAGAAATTTTAAACCCAGAAAGTGTAATCATCCATCCTTTGGGAAACTGCCTACACAGAGGAAAGTAGAGAACTCTCCAAATAAAACCAGTGGTGATGTCTGTGCTAAATAAGTTGGGCCAAATATATACTCTTTCTGCAGTGCCAAATTCCTCTCCCAATTTAATCTTACACTATGTTTTTGGTACCCAGACATCTATCAAAATTAGAATCATGAAGCCGAACTGGCCTTGTCTCATATCCTCACTCTGTCACCTGGCAGTGAGGTCTTTTCCATTTCCCCAGCTTCCACACAATGGTGACACTTTGAAGTAGTACAGATGAGGTCCCTAAATTTGTTGTCTCTACTTAAAATTGATAATCTCCTATGTTACAAACCTCAAGCACCTATTTTTAATGAAAGCTTTAGGTGAATATCAAAGAACTATTTAGTCATGTCTAATATTTTAATTAGATTATATTCTCAATTTAACCCATTAAATCTCCTTTGATGATCCCCATGTTTAGTGTTTAGCCCCAGATGCACGAGGTAATGAATACTGGACCTTTTGATTTAATGAGAATTTCGGCTCTTCCAGCCTGCACCTCTTTGTATACCTTTTATTTTGCTGGCTATAGAATTCTGTTAATTGAAGGGGTCTCTTACCATTACACATTAAGAAGTATAAATTAGCATCCCCATTCTCATTGGAAAATGCAAGCAGACAGTTTTGCTTTGATCTGAGGATTGAGCTGAAGAAGGCAGCAGCCCTCTGAAAATGAGCTGATGGCCTTGTTATCAGGGCAAAATACAGATGCGTACATGTGTCACAAAACACTTAATGTCTTAATTGATCACTTTCCAATTCTGCCTGTTCTGTTTCCATCATTCTCGTCAGGAGCCTGTATATGTATGAGTGTGTGTGTGTGTGTGTGTGTGTGTGTGTGTGTCTGTCTGTCTTTGCTTCCTCTGTTTATCCTATTTCTCCCCTCTCTTCAGTCAGTTAAGTAGCTAGATTTTAAATTAACCTGGGTCCAAGAAAAGTCAAATATAGCACTCCTCAAAATCCAAGGGCCATTGGTTCCAGGAACCTCCACAGGTATAAAATCCACAGATGCTTAAGTTCCTTATACAAAATAGTATATAATTTGCATATAACCTACATACATCCTCCCATATATTTTAAATCATCTCTAGGCTATTTATAATACCTAATACAATGTAAATCCTGGACAAACAGTTGTTATGCAGTATTGTTTAGGGAATAATAAAAAGAAAACAAAGTCTGTGCATAGCCAGTACAGATGAAATTTTTTCAAATATTTTCCATCAGCAGTTAGCTGAATCTGCAAATCCAAAACCCACAAGTACAGAAGGCCAACTATAACATAAATTCCCTCACCTTAAAATTCTAAGCACATCCTGTAGAACTACCCGGACTTTCCACAGACCATGATGCTAAGGACTCACTCTGCCTTCCAGTCCCCTCAACCCAGTATCTCACAAGCCTTTCTGCACAGCTGTTCTATGCTTCCTTCCTTCTACAAAGAGAAAAAAGCGGAGAACACACCAAACAAAACCACTGGAAATCTCTACAAAAAATAACTGGAATCCCATAATGTATTCTCTTGGTGGCAAATTCATCTTCCATTTTAATTTTATACTTTATTTTTTGCCATCCAGACAACTATCAAAATCATTATGAGCTCTGCTGGCCCTGCTTCCTATCACTACCCTGTCACCAAGCAGTGAAGTCTTTTCTCACTTTTTCTGCTTTTAATCTGCTCTAGTAATAATGCAGCTCTCCAGTATCTCAACAGATTTGTTTCATAAGAGAAATGTCAAGTTAAAGATCAATACCTCTGAGACTTCTGCAAAAATATGGAAGACTGAACAAAAGTTTCATTTCCTTGACAAGACCTCACTTAAACCACAATAAAGAGTTTTAAAAATGTAAAAACATATAAGAATAGGGAGAACAGGAAGACTAACAACAGTAACAAAACTTTGAAAACATAAAAGCAGAGGAATGAGCTGCTAACAAAACAAAACAAAAAAATCCAACAGACTCCAAAAATACTAAATTCAAAACTAGCAAAGGGGAAAGCCAAGAATCAGTCTGACTTACATTATTGAATACCAAAATTCTCTATAATCAATGTCACCAATTACCTAGAGGTTAATGGAGAGGAGAGGGGCTAATAAAGTTTGTTTGACCTGTAGGTCTATTAGCCAATTTCTGTGTAGCTAAGCCTTGCCCCTCCACTGCCCGGGAAAAGATGGTTCTGCCCCTGCAGTGAGCAAAACTGCCATTTCCACAGTGAGGGCCACCTAGCTGTTGTGAAGAATGCAGACTAATGTGTGCTCTAAATACAGAGACCTCTTGTCCACTTCCACGTGGCTCTCAGAATATTGGGATTTAATCCTGCAAGCAAGAGTTTAGGAAATTCTTCTCTGGGGAATCTGAGCAGCCCAAAAGACAAGACCTAAACATCTTGACCTCAGAGGTTCTCTAAAGAACTCAGCCATGCTATTCCATGTAAAACTCATAGTCAATAAGTCCCAGCTGCATACAGTACTTCCAGTTTCCTAGGAGCCTTTTGGGATTTCCCAACACCTCAGCATGTTACACAGAATATCTTTAAGAGGAAGGAAGTGTTATCTCAGCACTCTGAGAGACTGAGGCAGAAGGACAGCAAGTTTGAGCCCAGCCTGAGCCACTTAGAGATCCTGTTTGCAAAATAAGATAAAAAGGGGTTGGAGCTATAGCTCAGTGTGAAAGTCCTGGATTCAATTCCATACACACACACACACACACAGAGACACAAAAGGAGGAGAAGGAGACTGAAAACCATCTGGAGAATTAGAAATATGGTAACAGAAATTTAAAAAGCAAAAAGTACCATTTGAAGATAACATGCAGGAATTTTCCTAGAAATAAGAATAAAAAGCAAAAGAATAGAAAATAGGAGAGAAAAGATTTTAAGAATTAGAGAATAAATCTAGGAGATTAAAAAATCCAAATGATAGGAGTTCCATAAAGAAAAATACAAGA